ATGCAATTTAAAAAACGATTTGAAAACAGTGAACATAATTGGACTCTGTTTTGCATTCGTGTCCTCTCCTATACAGTATTGTGGCTTGATACACTTATGCAGAACAGGATCCAATTGACACTTGTAAAAAACAACATACTTGTTAAATCAATAGTTGATAATTTTTCTACCTAGATAATTATTTTATACAATGATCAATATAAATCAATGAATTATATACTTTTTTAAACTTGAAATCAATTGTCAAGTCGATAAAATTATATTTGCTTTCAGGAGTAATGTTATCTTCTAAAAAATAAATGTAATAGATACTTAATGTTGCTGCAAAAAGACCATTATTCGGAAATTGAATGAAAATTAAAGTGGCTCTTAAAAAAAAACACAGCCATTTCATGCTCATTTCTTCCAATATAAATTGTGGCGTACATTATCTTTAATTGCTAACAAATTCAGCTGAGAAAAAATTATTTTTATTCGATAAGAGAAAAGTTTTAATTGACTATGGGAGATATTTGATGTCTTGATGTAGAACAAAAAAAAATAAGAAGATGAATCGACACTATCAGCAATGTGCTCTGGAGGTCTTTCTTTATTCTCTCTGTTATATTTTGAAAATACTTTATTTTCACGGCAGATTGTAGCTATAGAAATAAATCCAGCCGGTTGAGCAGATAGTCGGTGCGATAACTCACCTAACTCTTCGGAACCAAGGATCTAGATTCGAGATTATTCCAGGGTGTACGTATGGCTGCAAGCTTATTCTCGCCGGTTCAAACTCCTATATTTTTCCTTACGTCTTGGACGAGCTATAGGCGAACTCGATCTCACGATGAACGAGTGACCGAGTGGGGGTTAAACGACGGCATGTCTTGATGCTTCGTCGTCCTTTCTTGCCAACTAAAGTGTCTTTTTTTTCATCTTTTTTCTCTTATTGCCATGCCATACAGATTTTTCATCTTTCTCTTATTCTTCTTTTCTATTTTTTTCTTTTTTCTATTCCTTCACAATTTCGCGTCTTTCCCTATTCCTCCGCCATTTGTCAATATACATTTTCTTACATGTCAGCTATTTTACGACCGTATTCTAGCTATTTCCTTTCCAACTTTTCCTACCAATCTACGAATTATTCCAAGTTATGGAAATGATACCAGTCTATTCACATTGGTGTCACAAGTTTTACTTGCATTTTATGTTTCAAACCGCTGACAAAATACCAATACTACTCTTTGATACTTTTCTTTTTTTATAATATTACATTCTTTGTCACTAAAATAAATGCACCCTTTAAGTTTTATGAAAATTTATAAACTCAGCTTTTTGTTATCAAATCATTGCTTTTCATTTTTATATAAATAATCTGTTGAGAATGATTTCAAATATGTGATTTAGTTTTGATTACATTGGAAAGAGAATAATATGATTGAATGAATATGACTTTTATTCAGTACTTAAGTTCTTTTCAATAATCAATCAATCGAAATGAAAAAATATTACTCCAATATTATTTACAATTTTTTAAAAGAAAGATTGAAAAGGTTGAGATTGTAGAGGATCATACGAGGTTCAGTTGAAGATTTTGTGGTAGTAGAGATTGAGATGAACTTGGATTGAGGTTGAAAGAAGTGAACTGAAGTTAATGTAGGTTGAAAAGGTTAAAATGAAGCTGAAATTTTCAGCTCAGAAAGTTCTAATAATTTTCTTTTTTGAGAAAACAGGTTCTCTTGGTGGGTTTGGAAGATCTTCACTGTACTTTAGAGGGTCAGGTTGGAAAATGAACGATCCAAAAGGTCTTTGTAATAAATCAATCGAAAAGCTTGAAAATCACTTAATAGTGATGGAAATTTTAAGTGGAATTGATTAAATTTTTTGACATAATTTGAAGTATAAAAGGATGATAAAGTTCAGGTTCAATCATACTAGAGCACTCAGGAAATTTATTGAGATATTTTGGAGAACCAATAAAGACAAGAATACGTTGGTTTTTATTTACCATCTTCTCTTCATCGACCTTCCAGCTTATTTTATTCGTCTTCCAATTGTCTATTTTTCACCAAATTTGAACAAGTGTAAATGAAGCTTGGAAACTACCATACGAGAAAAATCTAAATTCAAATAAAACTGTACTCCATCTATACCTACATGCCAAAAGCAATCTCAGTTGATGTTATATCTTTGATTTTCTTTTCTTCATCCTCTCACTTGGTGTAGTTTTATATTTTTCTATCTCTCATTCTTATATATCTGCTTTTTTCGAGAAACTACAATGATCACTATCAGCAGGGAAAATTATGTAAGCTTTAGAAATAGCTTCGACCAAGTATAAAGTACATTTTTTACTGATAAAAATTTTTCGATTACAATGTAATTTTTTTGGTATTTTTTATTTCATGTTTTACAATAGTCATACATAAAGCATGCTATCAAGAAGAATAGAAATAAGGAACAATTGATCAGCAATTTATTGAGACCTCTTTGGTCCTTTTGGTAGAATTGGAAAAGCATCATTGGCATGCTATTGTGCGTAGCTAGGAAAACTAGACAAGATATAAAAACGAGAAAGTGATTTTGGTAAAATAACTCAGTGTCAGCTATTACTTGAGATATTTTTTGAAATAGATGCAAAAGAAGAGCTTTTGTCACAAATCCACACGTACACACAGTCTTCTTGGTGCTATCGTGAGCTTATTGTAGATGCAGTCACTGTTGGATTTCAGTGAAATCCGTGTTGTGTTGATATTTCAAGCTATTCTCAAGAGCCTTTGCTGTTGCATTCCAAAAAGTTAACCCATTTAAAGTTGCCTTATACTATTATTACTTTGTTTTATTAAAACTATTTGTAATTCGTAAAACAGATGTTTTAACAACTACATATTTTTAAATACAATATATTCATGAAATATACAAGAACATGTTATCATAATAAGACCATTAAAACTCTGATGAGTTGCATCATAGTTGTGGTTCAATTTCATCATATCTCTCTTCGTTAAAATCGAGTTCGTTAAAGCTCTTGATTAAATCTTTAATAACATATTTGGAGAGTCAAAAGTTGATCGTTTACAGGAAATATTTATACACACCAATACATACGTATATATTATTTTTAATTAAATGGAAAATAATTGGAAGCTTGATCGCCTGAGGCCAAGTGCGGTATAGGATATAGGGGAAAAAATTGACTTGGAATATAAGCAATGCATACAACTTGAGTACTCTCAAATTTTACAAAGTATTCTCAGAAATATAAAAAGAATTTACTTTGAAGTCTAGATGTGTCATATTCTGTGAGCAGATATTAACCTTGTTCGAATTGCTCTATGAGTTGCATTCGTAAAAACCCTCATGAACATCAAGAGGAAATATCTAGAAAGCACGTGGAAGAGTGAGTGAAAGAAAAAAACAACGTTGGGAAAAATACTGAAATTGTGTTCCTCATGTATGATAGAGATATGAACCACAGAAACATCACAATAGATAAGCACAGTTCTCTCATCTTGTTATTTTATCTTTGCCTTTGGTTGAAATGTGAATCAAAATTTGTTCAACATTGTGCCATGCCTATATAATATATATTACGTCAAATATTTCCTCTAAAACCTTTACAAAATTGTCATGGTTTTATACAACAAACATTGAATTCAATGAGAATTCTTCTTGCATTTCCTTATAAATTGACCAATTTAAAAGTTTCCGACTTCTATTATTTTCATTGTTGACTTTATTGTCTTTCTGGCCCTGTAATGGTGGTATAAAAATTTTTATTAGTTTATTCTGAGTTAAAAATACTTGTAAATCTTAGTGACAATTAACATTTATCCATGGTATCAAATTTATTAAATTCTTTTATAACAAAAAAAAAAGAAAATTTATTAACTAACTCTTTCACTTTCAGAATTCTTTATGGTCTATAAATATAAACTCTAATGTCGACGAGAAACGCAACACATCGTGATACATATACAAATTTTGCATCTATTGAGGTGCAAAAATAGAATAAATGATCTATGTTGTAGTGTATATATATATTTATTGTCGTGAATTATTTTTTGATAAACTGAAACACACTGCTTGTGTATTATACTTCTTCATGATTTTATTTATCTTTCGATATTTTATATCACATTGTTAAGGTAAATTTCACTCGGAGTTTTTTTTAATTTTATCAATTGTTTGTTTGAAAAATCTATATCGTGAATACGTAAACAAGAACGTTTGCTTCATTTATAAATACTTTTTTTAATTTATAAGAATCAGCATTGATTATTTCAAATTGTATTTTTATATTCTATTTGTTATTAAAGTTGTAATTGGTGATATAAAATTAATTAATTTTCTTAAAAAAAAAATTTTAAGCTTAGTCAATGATGTCATTGAAGTCACATGGAAATAAATAAATGATGCTTTTTTTGTCATAAAAATTTTAATCAATGCAATTTTTATTGAATTACTCAGATAGTTTATTTGATTTTCTTTTCGATGAAAAATTTATTTTAATGTTTCATAAATTAATTTATTGAATTGATAATTGAGATAATTCTTTTAAATTGAATTATTAAACAAATTAGGTTATTAGAAAATATAAACTTCGATTGTTAAAAACTTTTTCGTTTTAATAAATAACTATTACAATTATAAAACCAATATTTAGGTGAAAATAAGTATGTCAGTTTTTGGAATTATTGATAAAATACGCCGATGAATTTGATATTATATTTACAATCAGTTAAGTTAAATGAAATTTTTATTTTTAATTTTAAAAACTGATAATGAAATAATTAGATACAAATAAATCCAAGGTGTGTTACAGAAAACTTATCTACACGTGTTCAATGTTAAACTCCGTAAAAAAAATATAGCTTTTAACACGCCTTGAAGTGTGTTAGAAATAACTGCAAAGCTCTACAGTTTTTGAATAACAATTAAATATTAAACGCACTCAAGGTGTGTTATTTTGACACACGTTCGATTTGGAGTGTAGTTATGACGGAAACGAATTATAATTAGATTCTGCAATATTTTTATTATATTTTTAATTACAAGAACAATTTTAATTTAATTCTTATTTTCATGATTTTGAGCTTGTAAGCAAAAGGTCTATTTATTTACTTTGTTTTTTTAACGCGTAGACACATAAGCATGCATTTCGAGGAATATTTTTTCTGGAGTGAAGACAGTAGTATTGACGAAATAATTGTTAGGAGGAAAATTTTCTGGAAATGTACTGAAATCGTCGAATGTAGCGTCAGCAACATAACTTCCCTAAAATCAATATTAATTTTTTAGAATTGTATCATATTGAATTTAATAATTTTGAAAGTTGTGAATTACCGGTTTAGGCGGACAGTCGTCTAAAGGAGGTTCCAAATAGTTTATGGCGGATGTCATAATGTTCGGTTCTTTTAAACCCGCACATAGAGAATATAAAAAGTCAATACCTGTTGGTACTATGTACTCCCCCATGGTTGCACCAATAACTTGCAATCGTAGCTTAGATTTTCAACGATTTATTTAAATTAAAATGACATACTCATTGAATGTTAAGTGTTTTTTTACTTACTTCAGCTTCTTCTGGTAAAAAGTTAGTTATTGTTACATTTATAAAGATTTCATTACCCCATACATCGGAATCCATATCTTTGAAATAATCAAGATCGTAATATTCGAATTTAAAATCCAACAGTATTACCTCGAGATCAGCCTATTGATAAAATTAGTATATTGTGAGATTTTTAGATAGTCGAAACATTAGGAAGTTATTGTTATGGGGTCGATTTTTGAAATTCGCAATTTCATCATGTCTTTACGTTTTAAGACATTTGAAAGCATATTAGATGGTTCAAACATGTACATATACGTACGTACATACATATATGTATGTATTCAGACAAATATTGTTGTTATAATTTATGGCAGTTGAATAGAAAAATTCAAAATTATGAAAATACCTTCGATATAAGAAATTGTGAACATAACAAAAAAGTTGAAATTAAAATAAACATTTTTTTAAATTCTTGAAGAACTTTGTCTACACGTTAGGTGAATCGACACTTGAATGATTCGATGAATTTCTCAATTGTATTTATAAAGCTGATCTAGACAATCGGTAAAAACGATCAACTGTATTCTGTTACAGTTCTGAGCAAAAAAATTGATCTGAATCTTCGATATCTCTTTCAGTCAATCTGTAATGACAAGTAAATAATAGGATGTCTAACTATTCATACTAATAATTTCCGGTCAGATAGTATCATGAGTATACATGAGTGGTCCAGATGTGGCCCTGAGATGCAAGAATAAAACGATAATCATTATATTAATATATTAATTCAAGTTAACCGAGTTTAACTTAATCCAGGTACATGACTTAAGTAGTCATTGAGTTGACGATAAATTATTTATATCAATTTTTTTCTAAATTCCTTTATTATTCTAATTCATCTAGATTTTATAGGTTTTTATAATTTTTCTCTAGTGTACTGACATAAAGCTCGAATTGATTCGAATCTTCAATATCTATTTTAGCGAATCTTGAATAAAAAAAAACAAGAAGTGTGATTGTTAATAACAATGACAATTTACTAACATAATAAATATTGTTTCTCTGAAATAAACTGACGTATTGTAGAAATTATCCTTACTTATATAACTATGAATATTACTTTGTCTACAAATGTATTTATTATTATTTGAAATTTGTTTACACATGTAAGATAATAATAAATCTCCAGCATACTGAGATAAAGCATAATTCTAAGAAAAAAAAACTCTAGAATACAATTTTGCATCAGTTTATTTTAGTATAAGTGATTTTTTAAAAAATATCAATCACAAAAAATTTTTCTTTCTCTATAAAAGAGCATCTATTATTTTTTTCATATATATAAATATTATTGTGTCATTTACTGCATTATATTTTCCTCATAATAGAGGTTTTTTAGACGAAATTGAGATGAAGCAAGACTCAAATCACTTCACCTTGAACCTGAGTAATCCTTCAGGCTTGGTTAATCTCAAGTATATATCTATAACTATCCATGTATTCTCTCTGGATTCTATGGAGCTTTGCATGGTTTTCTCGATCTTGTATATCGAAGGTAACGTGACTACATATAAACAAGAAAGACTACAAGATACCCCAGATTGTTATGTGATATAGCAAACGAGATAATTGAAGCATAAATTGCCCGAAGACTTACTAAAAACGTTGAGAGAAGAGAGGAATTATTTTGTGTCTTGTCAACTGACTTCCTCTTGGATAACTCTTGCTTCTCTCTTCTGACCACTCTGTCATCAGGCAATTTATCGTAGCTCATTACTAGATTAACTATTTATCCTGTATTCAACGGCAAGTGTAATTTACTTTCGTTAAAAGCACCTTCATCATGAATAACTTGGTGAGTGGGAAAAACGAAAAAAGTCAGTTAAAAAATATAAAAATGAAGATAAAATAAAGCAGCGGAGAGATGTACAAGAGCATCCATGTTCTTAATATTACCAACACTAAGCTCCTTTAATGTATATGTATATACATTTGCTCATTTTCTCAAGTGCCAGACTCCTTTCGTAATTAGCGTGATTCTTTCAGTACTTACATTTTAATACATAACACTCGTAATTGTTGAATATAAATACTTACCATATTTTGAAAAAAAAGTATCTTCATAGACTGATGAAACATAAAGAAGTATCGTCACTTATTGTTTATTTTTAAATTAACAACACAAGTGATATAATACTATTTCTATATTAAGAATAATTTATTGACACGATAAATTCACCATTTGAAAGCAAATTCACTTATATGAGAGTAATCAGGGCTCTGATCACTAAATTTATGTTATCATCATGAATTGACATTATTTTCCAACAACCGAAGAAACTATGACAAAGTATAAATCATGGTAAAAAGAAAAGAACAAACAAATTGAGAGTAAATAATTCAATATTTTGAATTTATTTTTAATCACTAGGACACTATTTAGACATTCAATGTAAAGAACAATTTTTATTGAATTTTCATTATCACGATTTTGAGCTTGTAAGCAAAATGTCTATCTATTTACTTTGCTTTTTTTAACGCATAGATACATGAGTATGCATTTCGAGAAATGTTTTTTCTAAAGTGAAGATAATAGTTTTGACTAAATAATTGTTAGGAGGAAAATTAACTGGCAAAGTACTGAAATCGTCGAGTGAACTTTTAGCAAAATAAGTAGCCTAAAAGGAATAATTTGTTATTTCAAATTTTATTGTATTGATATGAATGATTTTGAACTTTGTATCTTACTAGTTTAGGTGGACAGCCTTCTAGAGGAGGATGAATATGATTGAGAACTTTTCCGATGATGATGGGCTCATTTAAACCCTCACATAGAGGCCATGTAAAGTCAATGTCTGTAGGTACTATGTACTCCCCCATATTTGCACCAATAACTTGCAATCGTAGCTTAGATTTTTAACGATTTATTTAAATTAAAATGACATACTCATTGAATGTTAAGTGTTTTTTTACTCACTTCAGCTTCTTCTGGTAAAAAGTTAGTTATTGTTCCATTCATAAAGACGTCACTACCCGATACATCGGAATCCATATCTTTGAAATAATCAAGATCGTAATATTCGAATTTAGAATCCAACAGTGTTACCTCGAGATCAGCCTAGTGATAAAATTAGTATATTGTGAGATTTTTAGATAGTCGAAACATTAGAAAGTTATTTTTATGGGGTCGATTTTTGAAATTCGCAATTTCATCATGTCTTTACGTTTTAAGACATTTGAAAGCATATTAGATGGTTCAAACATGTACATATACATACATACATACATACATACATACATACATACATACATACATACATACATACATACATACATACATACATACATACATGTATTCAGACAATAATGTTGTTATAATTTATGACAGTTGAATAGGAAAATTAAAAATTATGAAAATACCTTCGATATAAGAAATTGTGAACATAACAAAAAAGTTGAAATTAAAATAAACATTTTTTTAAATTCTTGAAGAACTTTGTCTACACGTTAGATGAATTGACACTTGAATGATTCGATGAATTTCTCAATTGTATTTATAAAGCTGATCTAGACAATCGGTAAAAACGATCAACTGTATTCTGTTACAGTTCTGAGCAAAAAAATTGATCTGAATCTTCGATATCTCTTTCAGTCAATCTGTAATGACAAGTAAATAATAGGATGTTTAACTATTCATACTAATAATTTCCGGTCAGATAGTATCATGAGTATACATGAGTGGTCCAGATGTGGCCCTGAGATGCAAGAATAAAACGATAATCATTATATTAAAATATTAATTCAAGTTAACCGAGTTTAACCTAATCCAGGTACATGACTTAAGTAGTCATTGAGTTGACGATAAATAATTTATGTCAATTTTTTTCTAAATTCTTTTATTGTTCTCATTCATCTAGATTTTATAAGTTCTTATAATTTTTCTCCAGTGTACTGACATGAAGTTTCAAATGACCCGAATGAATCGCAATTGATTAATAACGCATGGTAATATAAACAGGTTAAAGGTATATGTTTGACCAGTATGTGAACGGGTATAAGGGCAAATGCTGATGATAAAGAGATGAAAATCGGTGGAATCCTTGCAGAGTAAGCTACGGGTTTCTAGTTGTGGTTTAGTCTACCGTATGTATCGTTAGAGTTGGTTTCAAATAGAATATAATCAAGATACAATGCGGTGAGGCTGATTCAACAGTATACGATTTAAGTGTATCCAGCTCATTGAATTAACCCTTCTAGCCATTTCTCATGGATCATTTATTGTACATTGTTTAATCATACTGACCTAATGTCCTAATGTTTATCGCAAATGTACCGTGATTATTAATTAGGTTTGTTACCGCGGATTCAATGAAAAATAACTGAGATTTTATTTATGCCTGGAAATGGCTACACTGAACGAAAATTCATTTTTAGTTAACATGAAATATTTATGATTGAAAAATTGAATTTTACACTTAACATTATTTATTTGCATTGTATTCTATAATGTATAAAATAAGCTTATCGAAAACATATTTCTTAAAAAGAATTATTTTATTACAATAATATTAAAATTTGAAAAAAATAATTAGGTTATTAAATTATTATTATTATTATGTATAGTTAAAAATGATGAAAGACAGTTAAAAAATTATTTTTTATAATTTTTTTCAAAGTTTGCTTGAAACAATTAAAAAGAAATCAAAATTAATGCAATACCAATACTTGTTGAAAAAAATAATTTTGATAGATAAATAAATAATAGTCACTAATTAATAAGAATAATAATAACAATTGAATTTTATTTTTACTCTAAAATTACTGGAGCTTAAGATTATTACAAAAATAAAATTTGAAAGAAATAATTGCAGCAATCAAAAATAAATTTGAAATGGAGAAAATTGTTTTTCTTTTTTGGAATTCTTTTTACAAATGAAAGAAGAAAAAATCGATCTAAGCAGGCATAAGTTAATTATTCAAGTCTTGTACACGATGAAGAACATCTTAATTGAAGTAGATCTATTTTCATGTGATCTACATTGTTATGCTCACAAAGGATTTAGATTAATCTTCAGGAATTAAGGTTTCCTCGGTTTCTCCTGTTCCAGTAATCTAAGTTATTTTATGGAAAAATCAACGGTAACCACAAAAGTCACTGGGACAAACTAGCACGTTCTCTTGTCGTGAGGTATAACTTTGGTGTTCATATAGTTGGACTCCAGCAGAGAATAGATGTATTCTCTCGTAAAGCAAAGTTGCGTAGCCGTGTTGGTTGCTGATTAAACCACCAACTCCGAGAATACCGAGCGACTGTAGTTCACTTGCTTCACTGGAACTTCGACATTGCATTGCTTCGCGTACAGAATCTTAACTAAGCGGTATATCTTATTTTCTTATTCGTCGTTACTTTGATTTTCGAAATTTTCAATTGGTAAAAGAAATACTTGGCGACGATACTTGGTCATGATTCGGTTGACTAATCGAATTGGTGAGGATTTTTCT